AACAGCATTAATTTAAGGGACATGTTGCTTTCGACCCTGTCAGCCAACAAACGGTTCCTCAAGATTGAATCAAGTTAACGAGCTTTATATACTAGGCAATCGGTATTTAATTAATCGTAATGGTAGTTACGTCACATGATTCCAGAATTTTATATGTGATAGAATTCGTTGAACAAAATGCCTCTAGTTGACTGATGTTGTCAATTTAACATTTATTTATTATCTATTTATTACTCATTTATATTTTATTTCGCTCATTATTTTTTTTAATTATTTATTTATTGGCAGGGAAAATTTTATTTATTTCACCGCATTTTTGAGAGCTATTTTGTGATCAAATCCACTGTTCAATGTGGACCATCCATCGATGTTAGAGAGTTCATATCACGTCCGGGTCACCAATATGGGGAGGTTATTATTGACCATTTTTAATCTCCAACTATCAAAAAGGTACCTCAAGATGAAATCAAGTTGACATGTGTTTTATACTAGTGAATTGGTATTTAATATTTGCAGTGATAGTTAAGCCTCAAATCAACTAGTGGTACTCGTTCATCGAATTCCATCCCAGATAAGAATTCTAAAAAGGGGAGTCATGTGGCGTAACTACCAGTATAAATATTAAAAACCAATTCACTAGTATATAAAGCTTGATTCCCCCTTGAGGTACCTTTTGATAGATGAAGATGGTCGTAAGCTCATAACATTAATGTAAATAATGCTGAAATATGATATTTTTATGTGTACTGAGAATCGACGGGGAACTTATTTTTTAGACGCAGTACTTAAATAACAGTAATATATTAAAAACTTATTTGCATGCTAAAGTAATAAATAAGAATATTTAAAATCTTTAGATCTACTTTTTTTTTAATCATATTCGTATCTCTTTATGTAACAAAAGTTAATATTTTTGAACTCTTCATTCAAAATATTAATCAATAATTAAAAAATATGTCTGGGAAATGTTTTTTAATGTTTAAGCTACCTTTAATTTTGGGCTTAAAATAAAAATTTTTTTTTGTCTTTTGTTTTAAATAAACCAAAGAAAACCTCGTCTAAAAAAAACTGGTTTTGGTGGGGGTTTTTTTAACAAAGAAACTAATTTTATTTAATAGATTTGGTTTTTTGAAAGCATATACTGTTGCATCTGTGGTGTTTGTTACGGGATGCACCTAGTAGTTCTTATCTGCGAGTGCGATTGTCACCACATGAAGATTAGCTGACCAAAAAGCTGACAGGAAATAAAAATGTGCGCTATTGATCGATCATGGCCATACTTCGCATCAATCGTAAAGTATAGCACTTAACAACGATTCAGATGCTTTTAGTATCTGTGCAAAACCTCTGTGTCCAGAATTGATTTTATGCCAAGGATCTTTGCTAACATAACTTATTTCAGGTAAGTGAAACCTACTAAAAATTGCCAGAAAAATGGAGTTAATAAGTACATTTAATTATTTAGTTTTCTTCTTGAAAATCGAGTGAATGGTTATCTATGTTACCGTGAAGGACCGAGAATGTCGACTTTCACCGGCGAATGTCAGCAATCATATCGTCGCTTTGGTGAATGTTCGAAATATATCTAATTTGAAATTTATTTATTCACTATTTTAATATCTGCTGAGTATAGATTAGGAAGTACCGGGAAAATGTATACCGGACAATGGCATTGAGCCTCAAAAATACATCAGTGTAGGGTATACCAGGCAAATATGTGCCGGGCGCACTCACGGAAATGCTCACGGTTTCGGCACCGCTTGGCGCGGTCGAGCTCTCTGAAAACAGCAAAATTGAGAATATGGTAACCCAACCCGATCTATGCGTCAAATCTTGCTACAACGTGCAACCCTATTACGTTGATTGAGTAGGAAAATGATGGTTCTATTCTAGTTAAAAATTTCTTTCTTATTCACTTCTATCCTCACACCGCTCTTGCATTTTTTATAAGCGGTTTTCGTTTTGAATGAAAAATTCATACTTAATTTAATGTTTATGTCTCAGAATTTTATTTAAAAATAGATTCTTGTAAATATTTTACTTTTCAACTTCTTTTTTTTTTTTTTTTGTTCTTGAAAGTGTGAAATCTATTGTTTTTTTTATTATTTTACTTGCTAAGACAGTTTACCATTCTTTACTATGCTATATATATAAAGGCTTGTGTGCTCACTATATACTAAGGCATATTGCATTCAGTTTCCAATTCAAATGTAAGAAAATTATATATAAGGTATTTTTATTGCAGTACATTGCAAAAATTACCTTTATCGCTAAATTCAGCATTTCAGATGCGTAATTAGGAAAAAAAATTAATTCTTTTATTCCAAATGCATAATAAAAATTCTTCACAATGAAATACATATTGTTACGCTAATAATGAACTATAATAGATTTGAGAAATGAGTTAAAGAAGAACTTTATACAGTTAAAAAAAATTGCCTCACTTGTTTGCTTTATCAGATGGAGGAGATTTTATTAAATCGTTTTTTCTCAAATAAAACATTTAATCAGAAAAAGGTGATAATTTTCAATTGGAAATATATATAAGAAATTTTTCACAAAGGAATCGATACTTTTACGCAAATAATAAATTAAGATAGATCTGAAAAAATAGACCTGAGAAAGCAATTAATACATTTAAAGTGCTTTAATTTAACCTTATCATTTTAGTCATTTGTTTGCAGTTTCAAAAGTAATAAAAGTTTCAAAAAAAATGTTTATTTCATTCTCATACGCAGCACTTTACTTTAACCTTATTATTTTATTCATTTTCAATAAGATGAAGATTTTAATGACACTACTTCAATATTTTGAAAGTTTCAAAAATTATAAAAATTCAGAAAAAAAAGTTTTATTTAATTTTAATCCGATCAAATTTACTTTAACATTATTTTACTCAAATGCAATTTCAAAAGTGATGAAGTACAAGAACCAAGTTTTATTTTATAATTATACGACTAAAAATTTTGCCATTTCTTATAACATTACTAAATAAGATATTATATAATAGTATAAGAAAAAAAATTAATGGTAGATTCAAAATAAATAATAAGAAATACTTCACAGAAAAATCGATATTTCTACACAAATAATAATTAATTGGGGAATATCTTAGGAAATGGATCTACAAAAGCAAATTATACAATTAAAATAATTTATCCTTAGAATGCAACAGTGAACTATTTTGTTAATATGAAATATATTTCAGATGTTTTTGTAAATAGTTTTAAAAACTTAAATAAACATGTATAATAAAATTAGTTACAATTCCTTGACATAAGAGTTTCTCTGTTTCTTCAGTTTGATTAGACCAATCTGAACTTAAGTATATATAAAAGTAAAATATAATTTATATTTCAGGGCTCTAAGAGAACTTTTGCTTTTATTTGTTCTTTAGCATTTATGCTATTTTTAACCTAATTGATTTGTTTTATCCACCGTGATTGCTTGCATCTTAAAAAATATCTATAGTTGATTTATAGAGAAAATTACATTGTCAACTTTCATCATAATTAACAACACTTAAACTCGAAAAAAAGTTGTTCGCAAGTATAACACTAGTTTCCATTGCACGCATTTCAATTATAAATTTGGAGTTTAATTAAAAAAAAAAATATAACTTTAAACGCGATAAAATGATTTTATTAAAATTTAAATCAAATCAGTAAAAATAATATTTCATTTATCTATTTAATTATTATTTTTTTTTAACTAAGAAATTGAAAATAAAAAACACTTCTGAGAAAACTCCAAACAAGTCAATACAATCAATGTATCAGAATACGTCATCAGGTCAATGCCCTTCACAGTCATAAAATTTTAAAATTAAATTCCAGCTTAGAAGTTCAGATTAAAACTAAATTTGAAAGATTTAATTAAAATTATTACTAAATATTGCAAAGAGAATTTTGTGTTTTAATATTTGAGTTACATGATCTTATGAAAACACAAAAACAATGAAAAAAATTGTAATAAAATAGTGAAAACAATTCTATTCCTTGTTTATAAGCGCTACGCAAAAGCAATTTGGCGACAGAGCAGGTTTGACTTAAAAGTTTCCGCCAAGAATGCCAAGCGGTGCCGAAACCGTGAGCATTTCCGTGAGTGCATACCGCACAGGGGCACTTAACTAGAGCTAGTATAGATTTCAGACATTTAGAAAAGCGACTATGTGATTGTCAACATTCACCGGTGGAAGTCAACAACCGCCTATTTCTGTCACCCACAGTAACCTATATATTGTCGCCTATCACCTGACGTGCTTGTTAAAACGTTATTTAAAATATGTCGTTTGAATGCCTGCCTCGCAAATCAACAAACAAAATAAATTCATTTTCTATCAAGCAAATAATAGAAAAAAGTTCAAAATTGGCATAAGCATGTAATGACGAACATTTCCATGTAAGTTTTGTGAATGTGCATCACAATTGTTTTATTCATTCGTATTTGCCTTTGGGAATAAAAAAAAATGAAAACTATTTTAATAATGAATTTACGTTCAATTTTCTAAAAGTGTCCAGGTATGAGATAAAAGTTCGAAATATCTTTTAAAATGCTCAATTGGGTATAATATAAAAAAAACACAACTACTTCCACTTAGTAGGAATAACATTTACCATGACGCAATGCTAAATTCTATGCCACTATCCACATAAATGCCACTATCCACATAAATCAATTATTAATCAAAAATCGAATATCAATTACTTTTCTTTATAATGCAATAAAATCTGGCGAGCAGCTATTTAAACGATCAAACACTTCGTTTGTTTATTTGTGGCTTGAAGTTAGGCTCGCAGAAAATGCCGTTCATGGGTTAAATTTAGTAGGAATAACACAACCTGTGACGTAGGCTATAGTATACCCAATTGGAAGCAGTATATACTGCAGTATTGCTAACAGTATAGTGTTACTTATCCATGCAGTTTTCATTCTAATTTTTTTTTTGGATCCTTCCTAAATGGCAGTGAGGTGATAAGAAAAATAAGTTCAATTATGGCTGACAAAGATAAAAAGTTTTTATTATTTTTTTCTTACAAATACAGATAGTTAACTTAGTTATGTGCATTTCAACATGAAAATAGATATTTGATATATTCAAACATATATTACAGTAATCACATAATTACGCAAAAGATTTCTTCTGCTTCTCCATGACTTCGAGGGAAAAGTTCTTTTTTTTTCTTCATCATATATCTTTTTCTTATAAAATAAATAAGCTTTTCGCTAAGCTCGCGCTGTATACATAATAAATAATCTTTACAAAAAAAGAATTTTCGAAGTATATTCATGACAAGCGCCAGATCACACCAAATAAAGTTCTGACTACGCTATGTGAGACGAATTTGTGGACAAAATTACCGGGTTGGCTATCAGTCAAAAAAACGCAGTTGCAATCACTACAAATATCGTGTGCCCATCCATATTTTTGGCAACAATGATCTAAAACAATTAACATTGGTCTCCATGCATTACAATTGGAAATGAGGATTCTATATCCGTTGCAAATGACAATTGTAAAAAAAATACATAAATCCAGGCGTTCGGCGTTGTAATTGCACAAATTCTGACTGACTTTTTTTTCTTTCTTTTGCTGGTCTCTTACGAAGTGCGATCGTCTTTGGAAGTTCAATCTTCTGGTATAAGCTTGTGTGCTATAGAATAGAGAAAGTTTGCGTACCAATGTATGCCATTGTGTGGTGGTATCGTTCTGCTCTCCCTGTACCTGAGGATGTGCATAGTCCGTAGCAAATGCAACGTCGCCTCCCAGACGTTGTCAATGAGTCTGACCGGTGCGAAAGCAAAGTGTGCCAACGCTTGGTCTTCTATGGTGGCATAGCAGGAAGCTACTACACCATCCACCACTAGGTTTCCTTCTCTTGTCAAGGGAGCAAACACTCCCTTTTTGGCGGAACTAGTAACGCTGATCACTTTTTCTAAAGTCACTTTGTGATCTGATGCGACGTATATGTAATCACCAATTTCCACATGTTTGGCAAAGGTCGCTTGCGGCGTCGTTTGATGCGGTGAAGCGGTGAATATGAGATGCGTGGGAGTGAGAGTGATGCTCCTCCCATTCTCTGTCTCTAGGGTGTTGTACAGTCTTTGCTGTGTTTCGTTTCTGTCCAAAAACAGAATCACTTCACTATAGTCTGTTTGGCCGTCTGTTCGGGCGACCTGAACTCTCTCGCCAACCTGCAAGTCTGACATTTTCTTTGGCCCAGCTTCTGTCCGAACTGTTGAGTCACCATCGAAACATCCTCCAGATCTTCCGGCATCAGCAGATTCTGGAAAAGAAACAAGAAAAAATAAGTCAATGAATGTACTCGACCTGCTTTAAGCTAACCCTAACTTTAATTTTTAGATTTCGATTATAAGAGCATCTTAAGTGATACTTTATTGACACTAAAAAAATCAATTTCGGATGTAGAAAAACATCAGAAAGCTGCTTCTAACAAATGAAAATCAGCTCATGCCGGAATAAATTAATATTTGCCGGGTATACTCTACAATATACTGACTATATACAGCTGCAATATACTGCTGGGTATACTGACTACAATTTAAAAGGGAAAAACTCTTTCCAAAATACAATGTTCAAAAACAGAAATCTTTAACGTATAATTATTATATTTTAATACGTATTTTAGTTTTAGTTTTGCAATGTTGGTTAATGCTGATTACATATATATATATATATATATATATAAACACAAATTAACATGAATAAAATAAAAAACTAAATGATAGAGAAACAAGAATGGTAAAAGCAAATAGTCGTTATCAAGACACATCTATTGCTATAAATGCGATATTTCTGAATAAAGAATAATTATCCTAAGATAAAAATTATTCTTTATGTGTGTCGATATCGCAAAAAACCTTATGTTGTAAAAAATCATGAAATAAAAGAAAAATGTAAAAAGAAATCAAACTTACCGGCGTGAATTAAAACGCGGTTTAGGTTTAAAAGTACAATAATAAAACAGTTANATATATATATATAATTTGCTGCATATTTTTTTACCAAATATATCTTTTGAAATAGATATCTTATACGATTTAAGCTATAAGCACTGTTTTATGTTTCTTTCTTCTTTTTTTTTTATCTTAGTGAATTCTTGCTAGCTGTTAGATTAGTATATCTATTTTTAAGGCATTTTTACTTTTACTCCACATTGGTAAGTTCATTTTCTGCTTTTTTAATTTTTTATCTTCAACTCATTTTCAATTGTATTTTTATTATTTAGCGATATAGACGCATTATAAAGAGACTCAGGGACTTAGTAGCTCAGAGACTTAGTAGAATTATTCCAAGTATATTCTTAGTATAATTAAGAGTAATTATTAAGAGTATTATAAAGTTTTAAGTATAATTATTCTTAAATTTGAAATATCGCATTTACCATAGTAAATGAATGCGTCCTAAAGAGAACCTTTACGTTTTCCCATTGAAGAATTTCCCATTTTATTTTATTTTATGATTCTTCTTTGTATTATTTACATACATACATAAATCACTGAAATTATAATATTTTCTCAGACTGCACGGTTTTTAAGCTACCACTTTAAATTTAAAAAAAGTATAGAACTTTTCTTGGAGTGCGCTTACTGTGGCAACATTGCTTATGCTTTTCTGTTTATCAAAGGGATTAATTCTGAAGTTTTTCTTTAGTATACAGGTAGATAGATTCTATAGATAGATGCCATTACTCAGAACTTGCAAAGAAATGACGTTTACAAAGAATATGGATCTTAAATTATTTCTATCTGACCTATCATTACTGAAAAAAAAAAAGACTAATTGGGCCAGTTCCCCCGACACAGAGCTTGCTCTAAATTCCTCCAACTTTTGAAAAGAATCATTTGACGGTTGACTTTTCGAGCGATCTAGTTCACAGTTTTCCCGTGAAGTTATTAATATTCTCTGTTTAATCATTCTTATTTTGGTATTTTAAATAATTCTATCGGAAAAACAAACTACAGTAGCAGGAGTTAAAATCTTAAAGAATAATAAAATAGAATTCATAATGTTTAGAAACTTAGAAAACATTCTTGCTGAATCAAGTTTGATCGTTCTGCACCATTATAAATACACCAATTAAATTCTTAATTTTTAAATTGACATTTCATGTGATTTTTTAATTTGAGGATAAAGTAACAACAAAAAATACTGTTCGTTCAGCGTTGAAAAATATTTTATATCGAAATTAAAAGTTCGTTTTCAAAACATTTTAATTCAACACAAAATCGTGTGCTTTATAACAAAGTAGAGAAGAATGGAATATCTTCATTTTTCTCTTAAAATAAAAACCGATTAAGTTTTTTGTCGGTTTTCAACGGTCAGTATCGTCAGTGCATCTTGGAGAAAGCCTCAAAAACTCCAATGATCCAATAAAAATCAGTATATTTGGAAACTCATTCTAAAAATATCGTTAGCACCATTTTATCGATAGGACAATAAAGTGAATGGACTGTCATGAACAGTGTTAACTGTCATGGACACTTACCAGATTTAACTGAGCAGTGTATGTGCGAACGAGATTCATAATAAACGAAGTCAAAACCAGCCTCTACGGCCAGCCTGGCCAGCATTCCGTACTTGCTTCTGTCTCTGTCACTGGTGGTCACATCGACTGCTCTGCCTGTTGTAAAAGAGAAGAAAAATGACATCAATGAAATGATACCAAAAATAAATGGAGACATCACAATACATTCGAAAATGAATAATCGTACCTTCATAGTGTAAGCTTTGAGTCGAGTGGTAGCTCTCTTCGTCAAATCCTTCGGTGACGCGAAGTTTCACTCCTGGATACTGATTCATCACTAAAATAGCCAGTGTGTTCAATTTCTCTTTGCACCTCTGAAAACACAAAAGAGAAGAGATTACTCATCGAGACATTATTTCATAACAAGATAGTTTTTTTTTTATTTTGGACTCAAGCTAAAAGACTTGTGATGCCTGAAAAATCACCACTCTTCGAAAATAATTTTAACATTAAACATACCTTAACCGTTCAAATGGCCGTTAAAAAACTTTCGCATCTAAAATGCGCTCGTCATCTTATCGTTTTTACACATTTAACTTCATGACTTTTTCTAACAATTATGTACAGTTAATATTCTATTACTATTATTTTTTTTAATATTTTGTTTGTTTCGAATAATACTTGTCGTTTACCTATTTCTACCGCAACCGGTCTTAACCGGGAGAACAATTTATTACTTTATAAGGTGATCAGATCAGAAATGACGATGTAATGCGTGTTCAACGTATTGCATTCAATGAGTTCCACATTTCTTCAAAGACTGCTGCGTAGTGAGTTCAATCAGAATAACTGTGAATTCAAATTTGAAGAAAGTACTTAAAATTTTAGATAGGCATTTTTCTCTCAGAAAAAGTGACAAAAACTAAATGTTTTGGTAAGTAGCTTACATTTTATTTTGATAGCTTTACTTCATTTCTAAATAACTGTTTTTATCCACAAAAATGTCGAAACAATCGAGACAGCACAAGTTCTTAGAGGAAATAATATTAATTATAAGAATTATATTTCTTATATATTCTTATAATTATAAGAATTATAGAAATAATAATAATCAGAGGAAATATATTTGCGGAAAATGCGCAATGTACTGTATATGGAAAAAATACGTTGAGCAATGAAATAAAATTTCTCATTCTTTGTGTTTGGAATACATAAGGTAATAGAAATAGTTATAGATTTATGTTGGTACATAGAAATAGGTATAGATTTATGTTGGTGTGTTTAGTGTTAACATTCTTGGCCAAAAATAAAATCCAAAAACCCTGCGACGTAACAAATGTGGAGCGCCATAGATAACAGAAGGACGGACATGCGTTTGGGCGAATAGACGTGCATCCGTTGAGCAACTATCCGCCTAAATGAACCAATGACAGTGTCTCCTCAGCGACGGTTGAGCGAATAATGCTGCGCGTGGGCTTCTACCCTGCCGTGCAATTGAAAAAAAAAAAAAAATAACGTAAGTGTTAGTATATAAA